GTGGATTCTGTATTACTGCATTTCACAATCAAAACGTACTAAAATGCAGACAAAAAATTTTCTAAAACAGCCTTTTATAGCAGATAAAACATTGCGTGGAAGAAAAAATAATCACATATTAATTTATATTGCCAATAAATGAGAAACGATGGATTTTGTATTGCCGCATCTCATAATTTAATCGTGATAAACAAATCAAAATTTTTCTAAAGAAATACTTTTACGGTTATAAAACATTGTGAGTAAGAGAAACGGGTCACAAATTAATGTACTATATCCAGAATGAAAAACAATAGATTTTATAACATATCAGTAAGGTGTTAAATAAACAGAACCCCCGTCGTAACGAAGAAAAATAAATCGTCTGCTATATCGCATCGAACGATTTTATTCAAATCACGTAGGATGCATTTCGATCGTGAAAATCCTTCGTCGGGCGTCGTATTTTGCAGCGACCGCTTCTATTAGTTTATCGAAACAAATCGTTGATCATATCAGCGCAACAGCGTTCATTGAAACTATTTAGCGGTGACGCGGCCCGAAGCGCTACCGAGGTCGTTAATTGAAAAACTCGATTATTAACGTTTCGCTCAGTGGGACGATCCCGTTGTAATTAGTAACCCTCGCTCAAGTTACAATTGTACTACTTTTTTCTCCGACATACCCGGACGTGACCTCTTCTTCGGTGTCGTGCACCGCGACAACAGGTTTCTGTTCCACGACCTTCTTCTCCTTATTCCGCGAGCTCGCCGGCGACGATGGTGCTTTCCCACTTCCGGAACTGACAATGAGCGCATTGTGCGTTACAGGTGTGTTGTCGAAAGAATCAATCGGACCGGCGATAATCGTTCTTACCTCTTTAATGATCGCGTCGACCGATGAAGAAACCTCTCTATTCGATTTACCGGTTTCTCCTAAAACATCCAATTGTTGATCAGTTTATAAATTCACTTCACCATTTTGGTTACAAACAATATGTACACAAGCTATTAAACAATGACATTCCTTGTTTCTCTCTGAGGAAATCGTTACGAGAACTTGTTAGAATTTGAAATTTTGTAAAAATATTGATAAATAACGTATTATGAACGGACTGCGGATCTTCGTGTAAATTCTCGTCTAGACACATCATTTTACAAAAATTAGAATTAAAGAAAAATTTCCTTGGGCGACTAAATAATATAGATATTATATATAATAATATAATAACATAAATATAATAATAATATATATAATATCTATGATATTATAATAATATAATAATATATATTATATATAATATTATATATATATTATTATATTATATAATAATATGATAATAATATATACAATAATATAGATGTATTCTAAACATAGAAATGCTTTCAGACTTTGTTAATTTATACATTCCCTTGCTTTTGCAAGATCTGCGCATACTATGAACGCATGAAGATTCGCAGTCTCTAATAATGATTGAATTAATACAATTGCAATTTTGTACATATTTTCGGTATACGTAGAATCAGTTGGTACTATCGGAAAGTTCAAATGGCAAAGTTAGAGAGACATGAACACTGGCAAACCCACCAGATATACAGTTTCCACGAGCAAGTTCTTTTCGTCGGCGTCCCATTTCCACACCAGCGGCGGGCCAGCAGGATTATCCCCCCAAATTCCTCCAATCTGATTGTAGGACAGCCTGCAGAAATAATTGGAAACTTGAACTGGAGGTGTCTCCGGGCGACAGTAATTAAAAATTCCTGTGAAATTCTTTTCCGTCACGTACCTTGTCGCGCCGTCCTCGTCAAAGACTGCGCCGTTGCCCACGGTGTCGAACACCCCGACTATCTGCGACTTTCTTTCCACTCCCACGCAGTCTTTGCCTCCTGGGGTGAACACAGTATACATACCATCTTGAAATTGATTCGAACAATTTTTACATGCTTTGCCCGGGCCCGCGTCGTCGGGATTGTTTCTGCAAACGCTGTCACTACTATGTCACATAAACTGCATCGTTTGTCGTTCGAAAATTCCGAATTTTTCCGACGACAGACGGAGGCAAGAAATTTTCACGGGCCCCGAAAAATTGCCAGAAATTTTAACTCGCGAACTCCTTTTCATTTCAAGATATATCTGAACATCGTGGAATTTTAATGGTCTCTGGCGTGGCAGTGAACTTATTTAATTTTAGAGGGTTGATGAAATTTGTTGTCGCTAATATTGCTAATTTTCATACGAAATAAATACATTTCGTATGTGGTGGAGTTCTGTGCAAGTTTATGGTAATAATTGTCGATATGGAATAATATTTCAATATTTCAGAGAAATAATAAAATGTAACATAATAATTGTGCACGTTTTTCAAGCGTAATATGTACAAATGAAAAAAATCGCAATTTGTGAAATATTTCTTATAAATTATCTCATCTTTTAGCAATTATAAAATCGTATCATTTAAGATTTTCATTAGAATAAATTTTTACTGTCGTTAAATTAAATACTTTCATTGTAAAAGAGTTTTAAGTAATAAATACCTTCAATCAAGCTCTAGGCTCTGGAGAGTTTACTTTAAATCGTTAAATTAATTTATTACATTATTTGAAAAATTATATTTAACAACGTCAAAAGGTCAGGAGCCCAAGGGAAGACGCATAATAAATGAAATGATAATAAGAAAGATAAGTAAGCACGTGGTGTTGTCTTATTAAAGGTATTATAAAAAAATTATATTAAATAAATTATTATTAAATAATATAGCTATATATATAATATATATTATATATATATATAATATTATTAATAATATTATATATTAAATTATTATTAAATATTATTTAATAAATTATATTCAATATCG